GCATAAGTGAGGAGAACGGTACGAGAAAGCCGTCCGCGAAGAAAACGCACATCTGTCATTATCCCGGATGTGAGAAGGTGTACGGAAAAACGTCGCACCTACAAGCTCATCTCAGATGGCACACGGGAGAAAGACCGTTCGTCTGCAACTGGTTGTTCTGCGGGAAGCGGTTCACTAGGTCTGATGAGCTTCAAAGGCATCTTCGAACGCATACGGGAGAGAAGCGCTTCGCATGCCCTACCTGCAGCAAACGCTTCATGCGATCCGACCACTTAGCGAAGCACGTGAAGACCCACAAGAACGCCAAACCGGAGAAGAAACCAGTGAAAAGTGAACATTCGGAAGCGCAACAACCCACCTTCCTCACAACAATAGCAGCGACGCAAATCCCTCAACCCTATCACTATCCCGTCCCAATGTACTACAACCTCCAGCAACCGGAACAGTGATACGATCCGACAATCGAAATAAAAAACCCAAGTGCCATTAATCTGTATAGAATTGTATATATTTGTACCATAAGAGTTAATAAATCGTTTATATTATTATAATATTTCTTACACTTTATTTGTTTTGAAAATTCGAATTCCGACAAAGTTTTCTTCCGAGCGCGTTCCTCCCTAACCCCATCTACCGGTGACGCAACATACCTCGGATTACGTGATCCTCGTCAACAGATGTCGCGGCAGTTCCTTCCGTCGCGTGGGGGGTGTCAATTAACTGGGCGGTCTTTACGAATGCATGGCCGTCCTGGGGGAGGCGGGCGGCCGAAGAAAATCGACGAAAAAAGAGGAAAAACTTCTACCCGCAAATTACTGCTCGCTTTACATGCACGGTGGGGTAGTAAGAGGGGGACGCGAGGTGGCGCTATGATGAATTAAAGTCAGTTTGAATCAAATCATATGAATGCATTGATGTATTTTCCGACCGGTGAAACGAAATACCGCTGCGAATGTGATTTTCGAACGGCGGACGGCGCGAATTCAGTGTGGGTGCTCCTATAAATCCGACGATCACCAACACCAAAAAAAACATATCAACATTTTGAAAACCCAGATAATCAAGCGAAGGACAACTGGAAAACTGTTTGTTTTTTAAACAGTTTAAAGCAAAACCCTTTATTTGCGAAACATTGCATAAACAAAATCAAACTGGAGGACAGAGGCGACAGGGACAAGGGACACACGTCCCCCGAGCTTTTAGCAGTGAGTCCTTTAATTCTTAAGCGCCCAAAAACTAAAACAAACACAATAAAAATAACGAACAAATTAAAAATAAGTACAAATATTAAAAAGAACGTTAAGTTTTCAAAGCGAAATTAAGCCATTATCGGAAGACTCGTTACGCGTTCTTACATTTTTTTTTATTATCCTTCATAATCACGTTCTTTTTTATTATCGCATTACGCTTTTAATGCACGCTTTTAATGGGCTGCGACCATTTGCATTATGCCGAGCGTCGGTAAAGGCGAAGAAGTTAAAAGCAAAATCCGTTCTTCTTGGATTCCGTGAATTTATTTATTTTTTCCGTTGGTTGTGGTCGAAGCCCAATTTTCGTTGCAACCCAGACTGAATAGAAACAAACCCAATTAGAATGAATTCGTTCCCTTCGAGTGTTTTGTCATTGCGTGTAGAGTTGTGTTGTCTTTTCATGGTGGAAAACCGTTCCCCCATGATTCGCGTGAAAATATTCTATAACAAAATCTCATGTATTCACATTTTCCCGACGATAGCTTCGAAATGCGCGCCTCTTTGATAATAAGCTCGATAAGTTGTTTAATTATTGTTTGTTTTAATTCCACAAAAAAATGTTATTTGCATGCGACACCAATAAAGTACATTGTATTTGTTTATTATATAACTAACTATTATTTTACTGTAGTATTTCAAACACGTGAAAGTGAAGTAAATAATAAAATAATTTATCGGTTAGTAAATTATGTGATTTGATAGAAATATATACTTTTTTTTATCAAAAATTAAATAAAATCTATATAAAATATTATATAAGTAATAAATTTCGAACACAATTGTCTTCATAATTAGAAGTTTGCTCTAAATATTATTTGGTACAAAATGTTTATTTTTAAATATAAATTCAGCTACCATTTATTTTAATGATATTTGTTTTTTTACAGTGAAATTATTATAATAGTGAAAACGTATCTATACTTATATATTTTTATACAATTCTCATATCTTTTTACAAGAATAAAGATTTTTCAAAAGCTATAATAAAAACAGAATTGTGCAGTGTAGCAAAGCTTTATTTTTCATGGTTACTAAAATCGGTTATAGCGATTGTTTTCAACAAATACAAAAAAGTTTAACTTAATTAATATCAAAAGTTACAATGTAGAATTTCGAACAATAAAAGAACTTTAATTTTTGACATTATTATAGCAAATCTCTTGTATTTCTATAAATTCTGTACAAGTGTTATAACAAAGTGAATTATACATTAACTCAACAAATAAAGTTATAAATATAAAAATCAATTTACTATGAAATTTTGTTGGAATCTAACTTGAAAAATAATAGTAGAATTTTTGCGAATGAGTATCTTAATTATAGAGGTTGTAAGTCGAGTGGTTCGAATTAGCTAACCCTCATTTCCAACAAATGCAATTAATTATTTGAAAACGACTGAAAACGAAGAATAGTATATACGTGCATATAATGGAACATATGGTTAAATTGGAGGGAAAGAAATGTCGATTTTGTTACATATAGAGAATTACAAATAAAGTAAAGAATTCAATGCAAAAAATGAATTCAATTATTTAGATGTGTTTACATTACTGCTGTAAATATAAAGAAATTGTAAAGTCGATAAAGTTGTGTAAAATTTAGTGAATATTTGTATTTTATACTTTTGAAATTTGTTTCTGTATAATAATTGAAGAAATTATCTTAAAAATAAATGTATTTGTACTATATTCTGAAAAATATGATGATCTGAAGAATTTCTTTATAAGTTATGATGATTTCAGGTGCATCTTTGAAAGTATCTTCGAAGACTTCTATTATCCTATACAAACGATCTGTTTTAAATGTAATATGATTAATGATGCTAATTTAGGAATGCATTTAGTAAAAGGAAGAAAAGGGAAGATCTGGAGCGGCGGTAAATTAATGAAGATTAATTGTGTAATATTTACGGTTTAAAGCGGAAAATCGAGAATGTTTGCATTTGCGTCGGGGCCGCCTTTTGTTGTCCGTCGCTTCGAGTGTGGCTGTTTTTCAGTAGGTCAGATGAGTGAAAAGAGAGCCACGGCCTTTGAGGATACCTGCGAGATGCCGAAACAAACACACACAAAAAGGACGAGCCTTAGGAGAGAGAGAGAGAAAGGAAAAGGACGAAACTAAAAAAAAAATGTAAAGGAAGAAGGTAGAAATGTCGCCCGAAGCAAGGAGCATTTTCATATTTATTATTATTTACATATTAGCTTATTCCCACTTGATATCCCTTTGAGTTTTGGTCGGGGCCAATAAAATTCCATCCGACGGATCATCATCATGATGATGATGATGAACGACGAATATTTTCGATCAATTAGTTCTTGGCATTCGCGTGACGAATTTAAATACTTGGAACTGTCTCACTCTCTCTTTGTGTATTTTTTTTTGTATTCAGTACAATTTACATTTATTTAAATCATAATTCGTATACGTGGAAAAAAGTGTATTCTTTGAACTGAATTAAAAGTGAATAAATCTTTGTGGAATCCATTTAGTAAACCGCAATTTTTAAATAAAACTAACAAGAAAATTGAAGAGAAAAAAGAGGTAATGTTCTTAATACATAAATATTTGTATATTATTATTATGAAATTACTGATTTATTTACACAAAAAATATAATTCCATTGTCTTTTTTTATTTCAGAAAAATTATATAAATATAAAATATGTTCATAATTTTGATAGAGAGAAAATTAACTCATTTTCAATATTTTTATTAAATTTATGTTTAATGCAACAAAATACAAAAAACCTCACACAGTGCGGCTTTGATTACTACGATTTAACTATTTCAAAACAAACTATTTTTTATTCAGCAAAATATAAATAAATTCTATAATAATAGTTCACAAAATAATGTTATTATCTTGCTTTGATTGGCGGAACCGATTATCCGCACTATGCGAGGTATTGCTGTACATTTCTAATATACTACACATATATACGTAAATCGGACGGTTAATTCGCATGAAAATGTTTGTTTTTACATGTTTTTTTTATATAAACATCTGTTTGTTGGCGTTAACGTACCTAAAGTTCGTTAAAACGTACACTTTATGGTGATTCCCATTCTCGACATTTTTTGGATATTTTCAAATTCTAATACTTGAATGACTTTTATATTTTTTTTATTATTATAAGTTTTTTCTATAATGTGAAAATTATAAGAATTATCTAATTTATTTAAGAAAAAATGTATTTATTGAAACAAACAATATTTTATTGAAAAATTATGGTATAAGTTTGTGTCTTCTTTATTTCAGGAAAATTATATATAAATTACGCAAAATGGACAAAACAATTGTAATTGCAAATTACAAATATGTTCTAAATACTTAAATGCTTCTTCTATTCGACTATTACGGTATTACTTCAATTATTACAGTGTTTATATAACTTTTTCTTTAGATCTCGATTATAATGCAATGTATAATTTACTTGTCTCATTTCTTTTAGTAAAATTATACATATTATAGTAAGTTAACATGAAAAATTATATACTTTATTCAGTTACCTTTACTAACCGCAAAATGTAAATAAAAACTGGGTTTTATAAACATATGTTATTTAATTTTACTTCTTTATTTATCTCAATTAAACTAATATAAAGCAATTAAATGATGTGGGCAACAATTATAAATTTTGTAAAAAAAACATGTTTTTCAAAGAATATTTGCTAAAAATGATCACATTATTATAAACAGATTAAATTATTATTTTGTTGCATTTTTTTATAATATAATTACGTAACAGTTGATTCTGTTTAATGATATAATTTTGTTATTTGTAACGGTTGTTATATATTTTTTTTGGTAATCGAATTTGGGGCGTGTTATTTTGGTGTAAACATATTTATTGGATCCATTTGGGTCCGAATGCGCTTTTGGACGTTGGCAATGATGAGGAAAAAGAAAGGAGGATGGAGAAGGAGGAATGAATAAAACATATTTGCGGTGGTCCCCTCCGGCGCGAGTCTCGCCGCGGGATCCACCACAGGGGGTCGCAGCTACCGTATCCGAAGAAATATTCCACCCTGGAAACACACAAATCCATACACCTTAAAAGAACATTAAATCAAGTTCAATATATATTTACAATCAGGACCCAATTAACGTACATAATACGTATACACATTGATGTACGTTAATCAGGCGGTTAATTTGCATGTAAATGCTTATATTTACATTTTTTTATATAAACATCTGATTATTCGCATTAACGTACTAAATATTCTTAAAAACGTACACTTCATTTTGGCTTATTAAGCTGGTAATCTCGCTCTCGGTATTCGAACGGACTAAATATTTCA